CTTTTGCAGAGTTTAGGGAGTCTACGGGGTCTACGGCCTGCTTTCTGCTTGTTTTTGCAGAGTTTAGGGAACCTAGTGTTGGTTTTTACAGAGTTTAGGGGGCCTTTCGCTGGTTTTTACAGAGTTTAGGGAGAGTAGGGGCCTACACGTCCTGCGTTGAAGCCTCTGCAACCTTCCCTACGCCCTACACTTCCTGACACCTATGAGGGTATAGGCTTCTATTCTTTGCGTATAAGGCATTAGAACGAGCAAACAGCGGCAAGCTCACGGTTTACAAAGACCGAGGAACTAATCGCCTCACTTCTTCAGGCAACAACAAGGTTTTCGAGCCCCTGACGTACCGAAGTGCACAACGAACCCCAGCATCATCCCAAACATCGTCGTAGCGAAGCTCGTCAAACAGGGCCTGGATGGTTCGCAGCCCATCGACCTGGCTTGGCTGGTTTGCGTGCAATTCTGCATGGAGGCCGGGAAAGATAGTAAACACAACAGTAAGAATCAACTAATTCAAGACACCTGGACCCAGTCTTTCGTGTCGGAATCCAAGAGCATGGGGGCCAACTGAACGATCTTCCGGGCAAAGTGCACAGTGTACGTCCTGAGATGTTATATTCGGTTGGTTCCAGCGTGCCCGTGCATCTCATGCGTGGGAACGAAGTTCAGATTCAGCTCAACACAAAACTTGTAGTTGTGATCAAGAGGCTGTGTTCCCCGTAGGTTCTTGTTGCCTTTGAAGCATTTGCGCCCTGCAGCATTCACCCAACGATCTGTAGTGCGAACCGAAGACTTCAGTTGTGACCTGGATAAGGGACCCAGGTCGAACCGTGAAACAACCGCACTGTTGCTCCATAGCAGCGTGCTCTTGGCCGTCGGGGATTTGTAGTGCTTCATCCAGAACCGTTGTTTCCATACCTGGGCCAATGCGTTGTGGATAGTAGGACGATAGCAGCACAAGCACGACATATGATTCAACAGCACAGATCGAAGGCTCACATATTGAAACAAGACTCTCTCACAGACACATTCGCAAAGTTTTGTTGCATCTGTCTGAGACGATCATGGCCAAATATCAGCGAGGATCCCGGTTGTTCAAGTAGCCAAGTTGAACCCACAGCCGTAGCCAGCTGTAAAAGCAGGGACACCCGACTGACGAGTCCATTGGCTGCCAGCACCCTAGGATAAGACTCGTTGCCCATGGGCAGATCTGGAGACCTCCCTGTAGTTGCACGTGCACACATGATCCACGACGAACAGCACACCGCCACATGCACGATGCTGTTGTCTAGTTTAGCCCGCAGCAAGCTGATGATGGCGAGCCTCAGCTACTCTGGTAAAAGCGCTTAGGACGAGAACCAGCGAGTGCGTCCGAAGCAAACAGCGGGAAACCTTGTATTGGGGCAAGGGACACGAAGCCAGCATCTGTCATGAGGTTCATGGCACCCTTCCGTTTCACCACACCATCATACAAAGCATCGAGTGCAGCACTGCTACGACCAATCATCCTGAATGCAGCACTTACTCGGGCAGCACCAGCAAACAGCTCCACGGTATCGTACTGGCAGCCAGGGCCATCAAGATTTACATCTCCCAGGCATGTGGTCAGAAGAACAAGAAGTATGAAGGCCTCAGCTCACATTACCCGCACTACCCATGTTCACCTATACTACATAGGTCGGTAATCAGAAGCCTCGCCACCTTTGGGGCTCCCAAAACAACGAGCCGCTTAACAACCAAAGCCACTTCACAGGATAGGACCATGGCAGCAATCGAACCCCACAGCCTAAAGTTCACTACACGTATGCAACAGAACTATACAAGCAAGCCCAGCAACAAATATCTGGGAAGTGAAAAGGGGACACTTAACATCTTAATTTGATTTAGCTCTGACCCACAAAGGACAGACACTGCTGCCTGCGGCTGGAGCCTGCCGTCTGCGCTGGAAGTCCACGTGCAGCACCGTTTCGGTTGCCGGGCTTTTTGGGGGCGTCTAGGGTCTATGATTCCGGGCTTGGATACTCTAAGACTGGTAAAGCTATATATTGGCCTCTATAGATCCTAGGATCAATGGAACATTGCGTTGTGGATATGTCAGCTTGTTCTGGGGCCACTAATGGATACAATAACTGTTCAGTAAGGCTCCAAAGGATATGTTGAAGGATTGCCTCTGTTGTCCAGGGACTTTATGGCTTTGGGGTTTGAGGAACTTCGGAGGCTTCGGCCAAGTTGATTGAAAATTTCAGCTTATTAGGCTTGGAGTTTATGGGCAATGGGCTTCGAGCGAGGGCTTGCTTCAGTTTATAGCAATATAGGGTCGGGGTGTAGGGTTTATAATGGGGGGCTGGGGTTCTGTGACTATTTAGTCTATTTGTTAACCAGGACGTGACAATCGGACCTATAAAATAATACCTCAACAGCATAGCTTAAGTTGACACATTATTTATAGGTCCGGTTGACACGTCTTGCAAGATTGCGGGGACGGAAGTCAGCAGCCTCATAACAGGCCGCAAAACCCAAAAGCACAATAGAGGTCACCCGACCGTCTAGGAAGATGGTTCAACTACACTTGAAGTCAAGATGTATAACAGCAATTGAAATCTTTTTATAAGGTCATATGGATCTGAAGGAGTCTACAGTTCGGGATGCCTAGCCATATAGAGCTATTCCCAAAAGCCCGGAATCTAACCCTATCAAAGGCAGCCCCAATGAGCTGTTCGTACTTGTGTATATTGTCACCCATATAAGGTTTGGACCCCAGCTTGTTACACCCTGGCCTAGCCCAAGCTCCTTATAAACCCCAAGAGCCAATCTAAACCCAATCAACAAAGCACCGGAACAATCCTAAACCTTTAACCCTGTTATCAGTCCCTGACATGACATCCCTCAAGAACTCACTGGAGCCCTTCAACAAACACCAGAAGAGCTCGAACTGCTATAAGTTGCAACTACGACGGGCATTGGAAACAACACAGTTCGGGCCCAGCCAGCGTCTGATGCTGCAAAGCTATGAAGTACGGCATTGCAACCCTGGGATCCAGTAGCTGATGTTCTATCTTATGTTTCTGTGTATCTGTATAGTCAGGTACCGGGCAAATCTAGTGTGGCTATAGATTGTTGGCCACTGCTCTGGCTCCTAGTACTGAGAGGGTTCGGGTATATTGGAGGTCCATCGTTTCTGGCGGGTTTTTCCTGTTGCAATATCTATACATATGGACATTGTCAAAGCATTGTAGGGTTGAGTGTTTTGGGTATACCCGTATTTAGAACCTTAGGGTCGAGCAAAAGCAAACCTATAACAACAGTGGGCCCACATGGGTTATAAGTTATAAGCTATATATGTACTCTTACAAAGTCCTAAAGGAAGGTTCTTCAATACTTATAATTAGACTAATACAAGAACCCAGACCCCTTGTAGTCTATTGTAGTCCCCCAGCCCAAGCCCGACTGAACTCACGATCCCTGTTTGGGTGGGCGGCTGACCTCGATCGCGCTGGAGCGAAACTCCAAACTTCGCGGCTTGGACGAGGAGCGGCATGCAACCTGGGCCAATTTCGTTTAGGGAGAGACAGGCACAGCATTCGGGGAATGATGCGATGTATAGGGCAGGGGTAGCAAGAGCAAGTCTGCAGACTGCACGTGCAACTGTGTTGCTGAAGCATGCAAGCCATCCTTTCAGTCGCACATCATCTGGATCCATTCACTCCTTTAGTAAATCGTGCATACACATGCAGATGTCATGCTTTTGCATGCATACGTGCAAGACACACATTGCTAGGGAGCACGAACACTTCTGTTCAGATGCGCCAGAGGCTCCCATTGTGCACAAAATTAAATCATTTCTTCGTGCAAAAAACACTTGTCAGGCTACGTGTACAAAACACAGTGTACCTGATCGCCGGCCAGCCCTCACCTGTTGCCCATGAACACGTTCTTCTTCTGCTCCAGGATATCTGCGACCCCTTTGTAGTCACCCATGCTCACTTCCAGGATCTCTGCCTCAGACAGATCGACTTCAGATCTCAGGTGCAGCACTGCAGCACCTAGTCCACCTAAATCTTCGTTGCAAAAGGAGTGTCCATGGAAATGGCAAAGTCAATGTTGCGCTGCATAGACAGCTGCTTGTTGCTGACATAGAAGACCTGTCACATGGTGCCAGATCAGCAAAGGATTGCACACATAAGAACGAGCAACGTGCCCCATCACTCAGAAACATACCCCACACCTCCTGCTTTTTCGGTTCTTTGAGCTTGATGCCCACCCCAACCCTCGTCCAGTACACGCTCAGCTCGACGTATTCAAACAATGGCAGGCTTGCCAACTCAGGATGCCTCTTTCTGCTACACCCAATTCGCCGCCGCTTCTCCCCACCCGCCCCAGCAGCTGGAGGGGCCGGAGCAGCCTCTATGGGGATCGGCTCCACAGCGTGCTCTGTGGCTGGGTCAATCAACCGGCCCTGCTCTTCCAAACCAGCCTCCCGAGCCATCGGGATCGGCTTCACAGCGTGCTCTGCGGCTGGGACAATCGGCTCGGCATGCTCTGCTGCCGGCAAACCTCTCTTGCCACTCTTTGCCTTGGCTTTTGCCTTGGCTTTTGCCTTCGGCTTCGGACCGTCAGGCTGCTTCGGCTCCTTGGCCGGATTGGCCGACTCCTTCTTCTTGTTGGCTTTGCGCTTGGGAGCCGGGGCCGGCTCTTCTACATCGTGCAATGTCGCAGCTGGCAAAGCAGAAGCAGCAGCACCAGCAGAGGACGTGGCCGTGCTTTCATCCTTGCGTGGCCTCCCGGGTTTGCGCTTTGGCTTTGCTTGCTCTGCTTTTTTCTTGGCTTGCTTCGCAGCCTTCGCTGCGATCTTTGCTTCTTTTGCTGCTGCCTTCTCGGCCTTCTTGGCTTCTTTTTCTTGCTCAGCTTGCTCCTTCAAAGCCTTTTGCTGTGCATCCTGATTTTGCTTCGACACGACCACCTGACCGAAAATGAAATGAGTGATTACAGAGACAGCAGCTTCTAAGCAACACAAAAACTTAGCCATGCAGAGATTCTGTCCTGCCTCGTGCAGATACCTTTTCAATCGGATATAGTGGGGGTTGGCAACACGTTCCTTGTGCGGCTTCGTGAGGCCGTCAACATGACCTTTATCAGCCTCTGTAGCCGGCTGCCCAACATCCTTGGAGCCCTGAGCATCCTCTGTCACTACGGCAGCCACGACACACTCAACAGCAGAAGACCCCACTGCATCCTCAGAGCCCGGAGCTTCCTGCGTCAATGGGGCCTCTACCATAGCAGGGGTGATATCGGAAGACTCGGGCATAGTCGAGTCAGCAGCAGCCTCTGCAGCAACCGCAACAGGGATGACCTGGCAAGACTCGGGCATAGTCGAGTCAGCGGCAGCCTCTGCAGCAACCTCAACAGGGACGACCTGGGAAGACTCGGGCATGGCCGAGTCATCAGCAGGCTCTAACACAGCAGCGGTGTCATGGGAAGACTCGGGCACTGCCGAGACATCAGCAGGCTCTACCACAGCAGGGATGTCAAGGGAAGACTCGGGCACGGCCGAGTCATCGCCGGGTCCTTCTGGCATCTCCTGACAAATCTGGGCCTCCTCTGGAGTATCATCCTCGATGACAATTTCTGAAGGTCTCAAGGCTGCAGCAACAGCATCCCCATCGCACGACAGGGTATCCGCAATATCCATCATACCTTAAAAACGAGGTCGGAATACAAATATGTATCATCTATGAGGGCCATGACATGCTCAAGAACTGAAGTCAATGCAGCACTGCAGCTGCCTTTGGATGATGCTCGGACAGAGTGGATCTGCCTTGGGTGGCACATCATGGCAAAATCCTGCATGTAACATCTTATGTGTATGGTCGGGTCGCGCTGGGGTGGGTTGGGCCTTAGGCCAGCGCGTGCCACAAACCCTAACTAGCACATGAACCGTCATCACCTTCGCCTTGCATGAGTCTGCAGCTTTGCCTGGCTGCTGC